GATGCCACTCAGTAGCAACATTCACTAAGTTCTGATTACACTTCACATTTGTAGAACTGATTCAGAAAATCTCAAGAATGATGGGATAGGGGTACTTAAAGCAAAGAGAACTCTTTTGAATGAGGTTAATGCTAATTTAATTTCTACTGTAACAAATTTATTTTATTTATACATTCATCATATATTTCAGTCATACCACATATAATCCATAACAGTTTAAAAAGTACTAGTAGGAAAATTCTTCCTACCTATTAAAAGACAAAAGCTCAACTGATACATCAATTAAAGGGAAATACAATTTGTGACACATACTATTGAGTCAGTAGTGACAAAGAATTTTGTTTTTATGACCTTTATAATTCTAGATAAAAAACTTAGGTCAACACATTACCTTTTGTCTGTTAACAGCAGTATCAACACAAAGAAATTAACAGAAAAACAACACTTGCACAAATCTCATTTTAAGATGTGTATCACGATACAAGTCTCCCATATTATAGAATATGGTAATTTATCTATCATGAGATAGCAGTGGGCTGGTTCCATCAATTAACTACTATATCCTTTACTAAATGTGATCCAAGTGAGAATGATAAAAAATATTAGTTGAGAACTCTAAAGAGTAGTCACTAGAGTTTAGAAAAGTGGGATCATTTAGATTCAAACCTGTAATAAGGCTGACAATTAGCCAGAGAGCAGACAAAATGTATTCCTTTTATCAAGTAACCCTTAACACTCTCCATGTTAGGGTTAAAATCCAGCTTGCCACTAAGTCACCCCCAAACCAGCTCTAATTACTAGTGATGGAGTCAAGTGCCTGTAAAGAATGAGTCCAGACATTTCTTGAGATGAGACACTTCACTACTGCCCACTAATACAGTGTTTTCCCAGGTCTTTCCATGCTCATACCTTCCATTACTTCATTCAGGAATGCCAAGGCACCCACTCTTCTTTTCATACTCAGAGAGCAGCAAAAATGTACTGCAACCTCATGAAACTTAAATATAGTAAATAAAATGTGCCTTACTTCCCAGCCCAATGCAAAAAGGTGTTAAGCAGTTGTTAAGAGGCTCACATGCCTTAAATAGCTCTGAAGGAGATAACAGACAAGTGACTTTCAATTAAAGGGAAGCATATTTTAAGACAGTGTACAAAACAGGTCATTCCTGTATCATCATAATAAAGCATTATGGAGAATGGATACCATATTTATATTCATACACAGAGCGACTTGATACGTAACTTACCAAACAAAATACCCTAGGATTCTATAGAAGTTATAAGAAGAATATAATTAGAATAAAATACTCCTTTCTATTGTATTGATTGTTTATGATAACAACTTTTGTATTGATTGTTAATGATAACCCTGTCACCATAACATTGTAGAGCTACTTAATAAAACCAAGTTCATATTTGGTTTAAAACCATCACACACTAAACTGTAAAAAACAGGAGGCAATATTTATCATTTGCTATTACCCAGTGCTGCTGTAAGTGCATTAAATCTCTTCACTCAATTAATAGTTACAACTCTATAAAGCAGGCCTCTGATGGGACCCAGAGATCTCAGAAAACCTGTTTAAGCAAAAGGAGGAAAGATATTAGGAAATAGGAAGAACTTGTTCAAATAGGAAGGAGAGCAAGGGATAGGAGGAAGGAGGAAAGGAACAGAAAGAGATTTAATGGATAAAAGTATTGAAGGAAAAAAATGGAAGTACAGCTTTTGTAAACAAGGAAGAGATAAAGAGTTGGAGATGGGGCAGAGGGAACAAAAAAGAATTAAGATATGTTTATATATATATATATATATATATATATATATATATATATATACACAAATAGCCCATGATGAATGTAAACATTATGTACTATAAACATATTGCCAAAAGTAAAGACTGCAATCAGGCGCTTGAAAGAAAATAAATAAATAAATAAATAAATAAATAGTTCAAGGTCACAAGTGAGTCTTAAATACCATTATGCTTTTAACTTCTTTATTATAAATTATTCATAATGAAACTTCAAATACATTTAAGAAGACAATAGGGTCTAAAATATTTAAATTAAAAAAGTTCACCACACTTACACTTTTTTTTTAAAAAAAAGAAAATCCTATACACATTCCAACAAGTTTTAGTATGCTTGCCAAAAAAAGAAAAAATAAAATAAAAGCAAACTGATTCCAACTACTCTATAATTTCATTTATATTTAGAATATGAACAGAGCTGGGTATGAGTATGTAATGAGTATATATGTGTGTGTCTCTCTGTGTATATAACACCCACATTATTCAAAGCTCCCAAAAATGTAGAGTTTCTTCCAATCCTTCTCTATTTTGTCTACTTTAAGAGTTCTTTGCAATATGCTTATGTAAATACTGATTTAGCTGCAGTTCTCATTTCTCAAATCTGCTTTTAAATGGATTGGAAAAGTGACAGACCTAAGCAGACATTTTTGGAACACAAAACCAAGAAGACATAAACAAATACAACTAGATTTAAAAAAAAAAAAGAACCTCAAAGATTTCATAAAGCCCTTTGAACTTATTACTACAGATATAGTACAAGAGCTAAACAAAAATAAAATATACTGATTTTGGCTAAGAGTAGGTACGTCTCACACACAGACACGCGCAGGAACTTGCTTGAGCATGTACCCTGGTGAGTATCTTTTAACAAAGCACAAACAGCATTTCAGCTTATTTTACTAACTCCCTAGAAGCATGAACTCTAGACAGAAGATTCTGAACTTAAGAGTGATATTAGAGCATGGGAATATGTTTAAGGAAACAGTTCCAGGTTGTTAGGCCCAATATGTGAGCACCTTCAAATTTTTTATATCAGGATTCACTTTAGGATTCAATTACATTAATAGCTCAATTACATTAATAACTCTGTAGGTGACTTGCCGACATCTACATTTCAAAGAAACGCTGTAAAAGATTAAGGACAGACTTAAGATATTAGTACCCTACTTAACTGAAACTAAGGCTTCTTTACAAACATAAGTAAACAGCTATTATATCACAGATCACAAAACACAGTGTGATGAATATACTGAGAAAGACAACTAATAGCTCTTGTGATCATATAATTTCTACTTAAATGAGGGAAATGCTTCAATGTCATATTTAGTACCTGAAACTAAATATTATGTGTGATACTGTTGGAATGAGAGTTGAAACAGAGACTACTTTTGATGAGGACTTGGCAACAAAATTAATGCATTTTGCATTTTGATAACATAACAATTGCATTATTGGAAACACATTATAAGAGGGCATTTTTTCATACTTGAGAGTTGCACATACATCTGGTATGTATCTTCTCCATGTAAGCTAATAACATCATAGGTTTTGATGTAAGGAAAGCAAGTCTGTGAGTCATATAACCAAAATATGAATAAACTTTTATGCTTATTTAATGTTGTCTGTTAAATATTTTTGATTCTTAAAATACTTTAAGCATAAAATATTTTAATTATTACAGAATACAAATAAACATTACCAGAAAGAAAAGTGACACAAAGAAAAATGAAAATCAAATTGTTACAAGAAATGAAAATATTTCTTTTAAAATAATCATATGGACAATAAAAATATTAAGAGTGTTCAGTTTAGAAGTGAACAAGGCTAAGAGTTTGCCCTTGTTTCTGCGGAAAAAAGGAAAGAGGAGGAATTTAGCTTTTGGATGGAGAACAGATATGTAGCCTCCAGATTTTCCTTCCAGCATCTCAACCCACATCCAGGCTGGTGTGAAGAGATGACAGATGGTACTAGGTCTGTTCCTTCAACTGCAAAGCAAGATACTGAATGTATCCTGTTTGTTTCTATAAGCATGAATATTCAGTCACAATAAGTAGGAGCAACACTAAGTATGCTAACTGTATTAAACAGGTCTCGAATCTTCTTTTTCCTTTTTTCCCTTATAATACAGATTAAGAAAAAAAAAAGTCAAGATGTAGAAAATGCACTTTCTGCCAAGCTTAGGAAAGATTCATTTTCAGTTTTCATACATTTAATACAAATGTATTGAGATAAATATGTGAGTAGAAAAATAGAGTAATGAGTATGTTAGAGGGGGTAAAAGTTCAAAGCAGTTACAAAGAAACAGTATTTATTTTCCACTTTATTTTCATGTTTTCATTATTTTCTTGGAAAATAGTACACAGACATTATAGTCAATACAGTATTAGTATTCCTCATTTAGAACACTGAGCATGTTGGCCTAAATCCCATCATAAACTTCTATGTTCAGAAGTTATCCTGGTGTGTAAAGAAAGTTTATTTGTAATTCCCATTTGTATCTAGAAAATGATTACTAAATCCAAAAAGGATAACGTGCCATAAAGAAGGAAAGTGACAATTTCTACGTGGAAGAAGCATATTTTGATAATTCTTGAAATATGTACTATTTTCCAATTCTCTAACAAAGCATAGAGCATAAATTCCCCAAAAATATACTTATATTTGCTTAAATAAGTTTAATAATTATTACAAGGAAAGTTGTAGGATATCTACTTAGACTGAGATAGAAAACATCCACTGAAACACCATATCTTATAAAAGAAAAAAAGTAATTCAATGAATGTATAGGAAGTCTTCAAAGTGAGTAAGTGCCTCAAAGATTAACCTGAATTTCATCCTCTCCTTGACATTTCTCATTAAATAAGCAATTTTGGAGCCAAGGTGGTAGGAGCGATCTATTTTCTCTGTGTCACCTTGCACTGCCAGGTACAGAGTAAATGTTCTAGGTGCTAGGAACTAGGCACATATCTCTAGACTGATGATCTCAAGGGCAGAGCAGCTTATGTCCTTTAAAAATAAAACAGTTTTCAATAACAGGATGTAAATCAGAAATCAGGCTCCTCTTCAGGAGACTTTAGGACTGAGAGGTGGTTTCATAAGACAATTTTTTTTGCATTCTAATGAGCATTCATTATAAAAATGAATCAATGCCAAAGCAAAGCACATATGTAGAAGTTGAGATAGACTTACGAAGTAGCCTGTTCCCAAGCTGGAAGGAGCTGAACTCTGCAATAAAGCATAAAGACAAAGTGGAAAATCAGCAATGGTTTTTAACACGTTCCAATCCACACAGCTCATTACCAGCCCTCTGCAAGCTTTTCATCACTACATAACATCACCAGTGTGTGCTGCCCCTTGTCATCTGCTACTGATACAAACACTGTGTTGCTTAATTTTCCCCTTTACATCTCTCAACAACTCAGAGATGCTAACGTGCTATTTACTGAATTCCAAGCTTCTGCGGTGGATGTAATTGCCAATTTATTTGACAGGCAGCTGGGTAATGAATTAATGATGGCATTTCGCCCTGCACTGAGACTAAACAGACACGCATCAGCCTGCCTCCCTGACTTGCTGACATTCAATGCCATGGTCTCAAGCTACTCCGTTTTGTGGGCGCAAAGGTGCAGGCAAGAGGAAAAAGCCCAGACTGACTTGAAAATAAAAAGCCCAATGGGTTTGGATGACTTTTTCCAGTGTATGACCTACTTGCCAGTTTATTCCCTAAAGGCACCAGTTAGTACACACACAGCACTTTTCAAAAATGAGACATTTTGTAAACATAATTAGTACACTAAAATGCTAAGAATGTGTGGGCAAAGAGAAGCTGTGAAAAGCACCATTTTCTGAAGGTTTTAGTTATAAGAAATACAAAGTTAGGCAGCCATAATTCTGATACACAGGGAAGCAAAAAAATAGTAATTCTGAAATGAATGTAGGGTGTCACTTTAAGAAAACGAGCCAAAAAGAGAACACTTCTTGTATTTCAAACTTGTCTAAGGTTCTTCGTTTGTATCCTTTTTTCCCTCCTAGAGCCTCTCCATACAAATTCCTTCACTCTCAGCACTGTCTATGTGACTGAGGTCCCAGATAAATTTGGAATGATTATAGGGCCAGTGGTGAGTTAATTTTCAGGTCTCACCTAAGGATGCTTATACTAGGAAGGTATTTTACCTGATGAGCATATAGATTAGGTTCTACACCTTCTCCAGAGTAGCCTGACCTCCTCCTTGATGCAATTATTAGGTTCATTTTTAGCTCTTGTGCTCCCACATTTTGTCTCCTACTCTATAAACTACAACAGAAAGGACTACTGGCAGTATTCATCATTGCTTCTGCACAGCTTAGCAAAACGCCTTGCACAGAACATCCATTTCATAAGCATTTGTTGAATTAAAGTATAAATAAATAAATGAATGGACTACACAGGCAAAAACAACGCTTAGAAGAATTTGACATCTTCATGAATAAAACAGATATAATTCTTTTTAATCCATAACTACCTAAGAAGGAATATTAGGGCTATAACAAAGTTCACATTAAACAAGGACAGCATGATTTACAGCATTCCTAAATACAGGTCCGAAAGCAAAACTACCTTCATCGCAGCATTACAGACAAACTCAGAGGAAGAAAGCACCAGAGATGTGTGATCTTGCACACTACAGTTGGTTTTTAAAATCTTGCTTCATTCTTGATCCCATTAGCTGCATGGAAAGATCAACAGTAGCCCTAGAGACTGGCTCTCAGACCAGTGATGAGCCATGTGACACAATCACCATTTTTCAGCACCACCACTCTCCAAGGAGGAGGCAAAGGCAAAGCATTTAGGTCTCTACCTGCCTGGTCATGTTATTGGGAAGTAAACCCCTTTTTAGGAAGAATTACTTAGACTACAGGATTTATTTATTCCATTCACTCAATTCCTACAAATACATTTTATCTCAGAAGTATCTCACCAAACCCACCTCCCTACCCCCACATACACATCATTTCATTGTATACCAAAGAAAATTACATCCTTCAAATCTAGGAAAACTCTGTTATGCTCATTTTGCATATATATTGTACATTACTCAGGGAGCTGGGTGGAGAAGAAGGCTTTGTTGTGCGTATTTGTTCTGGCTATTGTTTATGCAGGTCTGACTGAATGAGAGAACAGTGGGTATCATTTCAATTTCTGATGTCAACATCAAATTACTTATTTAATTTCATGCCTGGCGAAGCATTGTATAGCTACACGCAGAATCATTTCACTTCATTTGTTATGCTGTGCTTTCGTGGCGATTGGCTTGCCTTCCAACTGACAGCTTTAATTACGACATGAATTTGATTGCACTGCTGAGGAATTAACATAATGCAACAAAGCATTTAAGCACCCTGTCTTATAACCCTCCTCCCACACACACATGGGCACATGCAAACACTGGCAGACACATGAAGGAACAGACTCTACATCCTCATGTATATTAAAGATCCACTGGAATTTATTTCAGTATTTGTTAGAAGGTATACTGAATCTTAGAATAAAACAAAAAAAATTGTGGGAGATTTGTGACAGTAAGTTGTATCTACACCTGGCAGAAAATTTTACAAAAAAAAACCTTTCTTTTAAACAACTTATCCGAATGCCGAAATCATTGACATTTCCTTTTCTTATTCTTTCTCCACATTTTTCTTGGCTATATGCCAGCTCCATTCAATGATGGCTGGAGAATTTAAATGAAACGAACGTCTATGAAATAAATAAATTTCTGTTGACCTAGTACTCCAACCCCAAAAGATTGGCTAAGACTTCCTATTCAGTGGGACACTGTCTTTGGTCACCACTACGATCCCTGCCATCAAACTATAGGTAACAGAAGTTACTAACAACAGAAATAAGTTAAGGTTTAACTGATTCTTATAATGAGCATCATGTATGTCTTGAGGTTTTGCTATCCAAAACACCCAGAAAATAGTCTTAGTTATATTTGTCCAAACATACAGCTGTAAATACCGGAAACTTTGAGAAGTTATCTGAGCACCTCTAAATTACAGGTAACAGCAGAGTATGATAAAAAAAAAATTGTTTTACCTACACTTTTTATATAAATGTTTATGAACATATGTATACTTTGAAATTTGTTATTCATTTACAGACATTTATTTAGGGATTAGTACAGCTTTTGCATGTTACAGGAGAAGAGATATAACAAGAAGTAAAGCCTAAAAAAGCTGAAAGGTGATGGTGCCTTATCAATTTCACAAAATCATTCTTCAGTACTTAAATATACTTCAACTTGCTGTATTCTCCCAGTTCATTTCTAATAAGCGAGGACTTTTTTTTTAATCTAGTGACCTCAGACAAACTCTGTTCAACTTAGACAGCAAAGTTGTCTTCAGAATGAGTAAAAGGCTGAGTCAAAGTAAGACTTGAAAAATTAAGATGAAATTTTTTGTTTTATAGAAAGAACTAGGTTAGGCACGACGTCACACACATCCTTAATCCCAGAAATCTTGGAAGCTGACTCAGGAGAATCATGAGTTTGAGCCCAGTCTGGGCAAATTAACAAATTTAAATTAATGACTTCATCTCAAGAACAAAAGCGGGGGTGAACAAAAGCTTCCTTTATCATATCCACGTTCATGCAAAATTATATTGCTTCATTCTTATTTCTTGAAGACGTAAGAGTTGCCAGATTATTGATATTTTCAATGCAGCAGGTAGAAATGGGGACTATAAACAAGTTGAGACATAGGGGAGATGAACATGTTTAGTGGTTGGCATGAGAAGGCAGGGATATGAAGAGATACCAGGCAGTGGACTGTCTGACGTGTGATTTCTTGGCTCATTATAAACATCTCCTGTTTATTTTTCATTCTGCTGAGGTTTTTACTTGTCTGTTTGCAGATTTGACCACTGCTCCAGCAATCTCTGCAAATTAGCCTCCTGGATCTCATTATGTTGTAAAGGAGAGCCTTCTTAGAAACACATTCTGCCTCAGTTGCCATGTTACGATGGGATGTGGGAAAAGTAATAGGATGCTCAGCTGCAACACATTTGCCAGGAAAGGGAATGTTGCTAACATTCAAGTCAGCAAGTGGATATTCATTAAAAACTCATTCTCTTCTTTCTCACTGCCCCCATCTGCCTTTCTTTGCATCTCTGTCACAAAGCCATCATTGAAGCTACTCATTAAACTCATATAGTTAACATTTCTCTTTCAACTGCTCACTACAAGGAGTTTCAGAATTGATTATCCATCTAAAATGTGCTCCACTTATTACAGATCCACACAGACAGGCCATGACTACTATCACAGCTCCCAGAGTACAGGAAGGATATTTACTCCACCTGTAGGTGAGCATGTGTGTTCTGACATAGGGCTAATTTAAACTGTATGTGGCTATTATTGCAAATAAATTGCACCTGATATTCCTGCCTAACCACCTCCATGTTATTTTCTCTCTTGGGGATAAAATAGAGACCCATACCAGGAACTACACCACCAAGTAAGTTTCTTACAAGGGTTGCAGTAGAAGTGCATTCACAGACTTTGCTAAAGTATTTGAAAAAAAAAATGACAATGAAAAGGAGCAAAACTCTTAAAACAAATGTAATGTAGAGATAAGATTACTAAAACTAACAAAGGAATAAAAAGTATCTTTAACCAGGCAAAATCAACCAAAACTAGAGCAACTAAAAAACAAAATCAGGTGTGGAAATGCTGGGTCACTTCCAATGTCAATTATTCTACTCTCATGTCATATCCAATCCAAACTGTCAGCAGCACTCATGTATAATCAACAGTCTTCTGGCTTCTTGCCCTGATTTCACTGTTTCTCTCATCCTCACATGTAATTCTTCATATGAAAAAAACACTAAACATTAAAAAGTTTAACTCCAATCCTTTTAATGTCTTCCAATATTTCCTCCCTTGAATAACTGGCCATACTAGGTTCAACAGCAGCCATCTCACACTCATGCTTCCTCAGAACCTCAAAATGTGGCTAAATGGTTAATTTATGTTTTAACCTGGCGAGACCATAAGGTGCCCAGATATGTAACTAAACATCAACCCGGGGGCTTCTGTGAAGGCATTTTCAGGTGAGTTTAACATTGAAATCAGTCATTCAGAGGGAAGCAAGCATCTTCCCAAATGCTGGTGGGGCCTCACTTAATCTAAAGGCCTAAGTAAAACAAAAGGCTGACCCTGCCATAGATTGGAGGGAATTCTTCCTGC